TCAGAGAAAGGAAAATGGGGATATATATATATATATATATATAACTATCATCATTATACAACTCACCAAGAAAAAAACATTCATAAGGCAATTTGTGCCTAATGTAACATACATTGCGCTCAATGCCATCGAGGTAGGAAGTCCTTACCTCATGCTTGGAGTGGAAAAATTCCATGCCTGGCGTGACAAAATTCCATGTCCAACCTCATGCCAGTTTGAGATGATTTTCTCTCCTCATGCTTGACACCAACCTAGGTAGAGACAATTTCCTCAACTCATGCTTGGAACCATGCAAACCATGTCCGACGCCTCTTCAACCCAAGGCAATTCTCCCTTCCCATGCCAGATGCCACCTTTAGCACCTGGTGCCAAACCAAGCAAAGATAATTCCCTCACCTCATGTCCGAGGCCACTCAAACCACGTCTGATGTCACTTCAACTCGAGATAATTCTCTCTCCTTATGCCTTGTGTCACCAATCCTACGTCCAATGTGAGCAAAATAAAGACTCTCGTTTGAAGGCACGCTTGACGTGACTTTAGAGTTTTGCAAATGCAAATCACAAAAATTATCCCTTTCACCTGAAACTCAGCAAAACCAAGCATGCAACAACCAAATCCACACCTATAAAAAAAATTTCACTCGTTTCCAACCAAAAACACAACATGCAACAAGGATCATTCAAAATCATCAAATTCACTTCACATGTTTCTCACAACACCTCAACCCAACAACTTCATCATCTAATCCAAAAATCCAACACATGAACTCATTATTGGTGTAAGCACAACAACATGAAACACAATAATCTAAAAAAATGTTCCTAACTCCCCTTATCTTGACTCTGAGCCACCAAAAATGAAGAAGATGAAAGAAGAAGGAAATAGAATTTGAGCTTTGTGAAGCTTTGCCCCATACCATATATCCTAAGCTCCAAAAGTTTGAAGCAGAATCCAAGCCCTAGTAACCCAACTCTAAGACCCTCTTAAAACCAAGAGAAAAAGAAGAAGAAAAGGTTTAGCTTCTGGGACTCTCTAACTCACCCAAGACATACACATGACCAACTAAGAGAAATGTTGACTCAAAGTACAATGTTACAATAATCATTTGAGAGAAATGAGATTCTTTGAGTGATCTTTTTGAGAAAAAGAGACTATTTGTAATCCTAATTTCATAATGAAAATCTTTTACTAGATTAGATCTTGTGATTTTTCTTGCTTACATTGAGAATGTTTTCCACATAAAAATTTTATTATTATTCTTCTACTCCATATTCTTAATTTTTCCTTTCACATAGTATCTAATTTGCTTTAGAGATGTGAGAATGAGATAAGTTAATACTTAACAAATAACACTCTTCATTAAAAAAGTATCATATAATTTATCAAAAAAAAAATTATTCTATTTATATAAAAAAGCTCAATAGAAAACATCTCTTAAATAACTTTATGAATAATTTTAGAAAATATAATAAATTAACCTAAAAGAAATAATAAGAAATAGCTGCCATTAATAAGTGTCTCCAAAATATTGATTAAAAATTAATAAATATTTTTTTTAAATCAAACCAAAAATATATTGAACTCTATGATAAAAGTACATCAATAATATTTTAATAAAATAAAAAATCACTGTTAGTTTAACGACTTTCATCCGCATTTACTAATTGCCATAAGAAATGAAGTCAAAAGTGACATTTGGTTGTCTATATAGCGGTGGTATCCACAATCAGCAGTACCTCTTTGGACATTTTCTTGTAGTGACTGCTTCCTTCCTCACTCTTCCCTGTTCACTCTCAATCATCTCTTTGCTCTCTGCCTCAGGACACCCTTTTCCTTCTAATCCATCTGTGAGTCTTTCAAACACTCATTCCTTGTTATTTCTCCTATTCTTTGCTCTGGTTAGTGGGGAGTGAAAAGATCAAGTTTTTGGTTGAATTTGGACTAGGAGTCTAGGATCTCCGTGATCAAATCTTATAAGGGTATGTGTCTTTTATTTGTTTGGTCATGTGTTGTTAAATTAATAGACTTTAGTTTTGTTGCTGGGAAATTTGAGGAACAGGATTGCAGTACTTTTTTTTATTTTATTTTAATTTTTTAATTTTTTTTATTCTTTTTTGTGTTATGTGGTAAAAAGTTGGAAACTTACTTGGTTGAAAGAGTTTGCTTCTTGGCTATGTGTGCTTCGTGTTTTTATAAGATACTTGACATCAAGTCAGCAGTGTGGTGATTGCGTTCAATTTCTTTTTCTGTTCTCTTATTATGGCTGTTGTGAAGTTACAAGGAATCCATATCCCATTTGGACAAGAAAATTAAGAGAAGGATAGGGTTCCTACAGGTTTATTTTGATGTTTCTATGTCTCTGTCCATAGTCACAGTGGTTATTGATGTTTTCTCAATTGAGACTTGTTTGTAAATTAGATGATTCGGTTTACTAGAAAACAAAAACAAAAACATTTTTTTTATGATGTATGATAAAATGAAACTATGATGCCTATTCTATGATATAATTTTGTTTCAGGGATATTGGTTTCTTTGAGTGCATAATATCAGCTTGAAGCTCTAAGTAATTCTGGATATCTAAAGCCACAAAGGAAAGATCAGCATGCGTTGGTTGGGTCTTTCTGTTGACGTGTTCCGCCAAGTTGTACAGTTGAACTTATATTGTAGAGTTATTCTGTAGATCATCATTCCCAAAATCCTATATTTCGTTATTTCTGGTCCCTTTGCTTAGCTGCTGCCATGGAAGCCAACCATTGTTTGATCATTTCTTCTGATAAATATAGAATTGGCTAAAAGATAGGAAGTTAAGGCAGATTCTGTTATTTTGTAATTTCGGTATGTTCTCATCTCATATTGTTCTCTAGTTCTAGCTGATTCTGATTTTGTGTTTAGCTTGGGGTATCTTCATTGTGATATTCTATTGGGCATTTCTTCACTGTGTACAACATTAGATTGATTGAATAGTGTGGAGAGAGACAAAAGTAGTTATGGTGTGCCAAGCAGCGAGCCAAACAAGATTCCGGGCATTAAAACATGAGTATGGCATTGAAGGTCAAGCAACAATTATTGTTAGAGTGATAGCATGTTTTCAACCCTTGCATTTTTGTCAGGTTAGTATCTTGTTTCTGATTGTTGGTATTTTCCAGTTGCAGTTCTTTTCTATAACTACATCCTTGATTATGAAGCTTTTGGCATAAGACATAAGCATTAGGACCACTGAACTCTAAAATGTCTGTGTTATCTGTTACTAGATAGTTTATGATCTCAATGAGTGACTTATGCTATCTTTGGACTCTTTGCAGGCTGAGTACTTCCGTCATTTGCTTAAGCCTGTCACGTAGATTGATTAACATTTCTTTCTCACTAAGCTGGAGTTTGTAGTTTTCATTTTCATTTTCCCTTTTGTTCCTTAGAAAAGCAGTAAGTTACCAAGGATCTCATACAAGAGCACCATAACATCTACTGGTACATATTTTCAAACGCTCTTTTTTCATCTTTTCAACCGAAAGCGTTTCATATTTAGCATTGGCTGATTGGTTCTATTGTTCTGTAGGTCATTTCTTTTGTTGGATGGTTAAGGCTGACGGGTCTTTGCCTCGTCCACACCATGTGGCATGGCAATCACCTTCTTCGAATTACTTCAGCATGCTGCCTAAGCGCAGCTTAGTTTGTCTGCCAACATATCTGAATTCGAGTACTTGCATGTTTCCTGCTGTCAGTACATTTCGCGGGTTTGCAGCTCCTTCTATCCCAATTTTGAAGACTGAGCTAACAAATGAAGTGCAAGGATTCCTTCAGCATCACAATGCAGACACAAGTTTGAAAGAAACACATGTTGGAGGAGCTTTACAAAGGTTGTTCTATGGGCTTGAAGCTCCCTCTATCCCAAGTCTGAAGACTGAGCAAACAAATGAGGTGCAAGGATTCCTTAAGCATCACAATGCAGACACAAGTTTGAAAGAAACACATGTTGGAGGATCTTTTCAAAATGCAAATCCTTCATCTTTGCAGAAGAGGTTACTGATCTTTGACCGCTCTGATAATAAGACAAGGTTGTTTTATGGTCCTGTCCTCCCTCTTGTCCAGAGTCCAACTGTTGCTGCTACAAAGTTTGCTCAAAGTTATGTCGCAAATGGGGAGGGGCAGGCCAGTAATGTGGGTCAAAAGAATCTGCCCAGTTACAGTTTACCGGAAGTGTCTGTTAAGGATCATGCAGTCATTGAAGAAAGTGAAAATCACGAAGATACGGAAGAAATAAATGCATTGCTTTATTCTGATGATGACAATGGCAACGATGATGATGATGATTCTGATGAGGTAACTAGTACAGATCGATCCCCTTTGGCAACTAAAATGACTCATGTGATACAAGAGCAGTTTGAAGACATGAAAGAGGATGTTGCTAGTTCTGATTGGCCTAACAAAAGGCTGAAGTTAATTGATGGTGACTACAATAGATCATCCCCACCTGTGCAAAGATCTAATTTGGCAAGACCAAATGGAACCTGTGATTGTGTCAGTGATGCTGAATCAAAGAATTCAAGTGGATGGCTATATTCTGTTGATAAAGCTAAAGTAGATGATTCAGTGGTTTGCGATATCAAATTGAAAAAGGATAAGATACGTGAATCTTTGAGAGTTCTTGAGAATTTAATTCCAGGTGCAAAAGGAAAGGAGCCACTGTTTGTCATTGATGGAACCATTGAGTACTTGAAATTTTTGATGTCCCAATCTGGTGCTCTTGGAGATAAATATCACTAAGTAGTACTCAGCCATTGAGGTTATAGTATGTTTGGTTGAAGGGCACATTTGTGGTGAAGATGTAGTTCTTTGAACATTGTTGGTTGATATGTTTATCTTAGCATGCTTGCTTGTTTCCTTCTTTTAATCCTATTTCTTGAGGTGTATATATATGGTTGGGAAATAAAGTTACTAACGCTGAAATAGATAGTATTGCACTTTGCCACTGAAGTTGGAGAAAAAATGCAAGATGGGGTTTCAATTTGTTGACCAACATGATTATCCTGTAGCTTTTTTGGAGGATTAAAGGTCACAGATTGAAGTGATGGAGGTGTTAGTGGGGGGCTTTGCTGTAAATGAGGACACTTTTTCTCTCAAGTGTTGCACTCTCTTGGTGATTGAATGCATGCGCATTAGGCAACTGGGGTCCCACACTCCACCCTCCTTTTTCATCCTTGATTTGTGCTTTTGTCTTCTCTTTCAAGGTTGCACGCATATCATGCTGGCATCTACTCTAAAGTAACAAGAAAGTTTCCTGATGTTTGGCAGAGTGAGGCTAGTGTTTCATCATGAGTTACTGGGGCCCTTTGTTTGGATATGTAGCATTTGTGGTAAAGGTTACCTTGTTTTACATGTTGAGGGAGGAATGATGACAAGCAATTCTAGTTTCTACTTTGTAATTCATGTAGGTAGTCAAGGGTCTCTTTTTGATGATGATATTATGTAGCTGTCAGTTGTGTGATTGTATGAATAAGTGGTGTGAATGGTTATGGATTGGGCGTGGTATATGAAGGTTAAGAGTGTATCATGCTCATGCATGTAGTTCATCTTGTCAGTTGTTAGCTCATGTGCTTTCATGCTTGTACATATCATATCACTTCGATCAATCTGTGATTCCTCATTTTCTGTTACTTGTATCTTTTTGCATGCAACTCTACATCTGAATATGATACTTTTCAGGAAACAAATTGGCAGGCAAGGATCTTGATTTTTTATTTTTATTTTTATTTTTTATAACTTTGTTGTTTTTTCTAAAGTAAAGACTGTTATGACCATTGAAAATTGCAGAATTGTAACTAATAAATGAATGAATATTTATATAAACAAATTTGTTTAGTTTTTTATTGAAGAATTATGAGTTCATACTTAATCCAGTTGAATATCAAGATTTTACCTATTGTCAAAAGGAAATAATATTAAGATTGCGATCATTATCTTGGTACTGATTTTTTTTTTCTTAATGATTTTAGGAGTATGAGCTCCGTTTTTGAAACCATGACAAACCTGGTATGTGTGATTAACTTTTTCTATTTCAAATTTTCGTGAGATAAAAAGAGAAAGTTGTAAATTAAAAATATTAGTTAGTAAAAGAGTATGTGTTACAGGAAAATTAATAAACATATAATTGTTTAAAATAAAACTTACATTTCTTATCTTAATATATTGTTCTTACAATTTGTCAACTCTTTAAAATAAATTACTTTATTTTTTTCTGACCATAAACAGTTTCTTAAAAATTGCGAAAGGAATGTGTTATTTTTTTTAAAATAAAAAGAATATAAATGTAATTAAGTTAATTTTGGGGACACCAATGAAACTGTGCCTATATTATTTTCTTATGTAATTATTGTACTACATGTCTACACCTGAATCATAATCATGTATAATTTATTTTATTTTAGTTCAAATGATAGTTTCTTCGATTTTTGTCAAATGTTAGTAAAGTGGACTTGAATACATAGGTATGTAAATGGGTTGGATTCAGTTTGGATGAATTCATTTTCTTTCTAATAAAAAATTAACGGATTAAATTGAATTAAATTTATGTTTTTTTATTATGAAATTTAACTTAATATAATTTAATTATGAACGAATTAGATTGAGTTGAGTTAATTGAGTCAATATAATTAATTTTATTATTTTTTTTGTAAAATTTTAAATATTTTAGAATAGATTTGGAAATATTTGATATCATATCTTGATGGAAATTAAATAACATTTTTTTGTTTGTTGGTATATCCCTGAAGTGACTAATCTTCTCGTTAGGAGAGAGGCACCTCAAAGGGTGAGATAGCTGACCCTAAGATTTAACACTAACACAGTTGCATACACAAGGCAGTATTCGAACCCCTAACCTTGCTTAAGCGTAGATTAACCCCTACCGCTGAACCACACGTTTGAGATTTGAAATTATATAACATTATCACCCATAAAATAAACAATAATTCAAACTAAATTTAAAAAATAAACTTATTAATTTATCACAATATTAATTTTAGTCAATACAAGCTTGTTTTTAATATGTAACAATTATAAATCATCTTTTTCATTGTTTATTAGTCTTTAAAGATAACTCAGTCTCGTACAAACATAGTGGACATGGATATCATTTTTTTTTAGCATGCATGTGATTAATTGTTTGTTATTTACATTTTTGAATTTAAGAATTAGTATCATAAATAATATTTAATTAAATATGAGTGCATCATATTTTTTGTTCTTCCAATATACCAAAAATTTTAAGATGGGCCTTGGATAATAATATTTAGTTTAAATATACTTCTGATTTCTCATTTTATTCTTTGATTTTAGTTTCGGTTTTTAAGTTTAAAACTTTTTACTATATTTTTTTATTTATTAAATAAAATGTGAAAAATATCCGATTAAAAAATTTTGCATTCCCAAAAATGAAGTGTTTTTATTAATTTTTTTTATGTCGATTTATCATACTAATTTAGTAAGTTTAGTAACATATAACATTATTAATGTAAAAAAATGACGGAAAGACCCATTTGATTTGATAGAAACAAATCAAGGAATCAAATCAAAACTTTATAAACTTTAAAAAAAGCTAAAATTTAAACTTAAAAAATATATAATAAAATATCAAAATTATATTTTAATCTTGATATTTTTAATATTTTAACTTTAAAAAAATAATCAGTAAAAAAGGTTATAATAATAACAATAAAAATCAAATCTAAGTTCTTCAAGATTTAATTTACACTAGAGAAAGCCTTTATTATTATTATTATTATTATTAAAGCATTTCAGGCAGCGTTAGTAATAAATATCTTGCGAATTCTAAGTTTGACAAAAAAAAATATTTATTTTTATTTTACTTATATAAGTGGTTTTTCACTCACGGCATTCAACACATAATAAAGTCAATTATAATATATAAAAATTAGAAGGGATATTAGCATATATAACTATGAACGATATGTAACATTAGTAATAAGGATTATAGAACTAAACAATGTATTTATTCAACTTAAGAACTGAAAAATTAAAGCTTTATAAATGAAAATTAACTGTATTCGATTGATAATATAGTCTTGAAGTGCAAACCAATATAATATCCTTGAAGGGTGAAACTAATAAATTAATAATCCATTATTTGCTTATACTAATTTAAAAGATGCAATCGATTATGTTTGCACAATTTTGTCTCTGAAAAGATTAAAGCGATAGTTTTCATATACAAATTCCAGGTAAGCCAGGTATCTTGTGGCTGACCAGTCAAGGGCATGTTTATACTAGACAAAAAAATTTACTCTAATATAATTAATATATTTTATTGTATTTTTTCTTGTTTGGACAAGAAAATTGTTAATTTAAATTTGATAATTAATAAATAAACTTTAACATCTAACTCAATGATAATTTCTTTCTATTACTATTATATAACATAGTTAATTTTAAATTAAATTTTAAAACTAATTACAAGTATTGTTTATTAATATTTTATAAAACTTACACATATTTTTTTTTTAAAAAAATTAATATATTTCTTATTTCTAATGGGACGTTTATTTTGTTTTTATTAATATTTCTTATATTATCTTAAATTTATGGAAAAGTTCATGATAACAAATATAAAATTAATACAAAGTTTCTTCTAAATCATTTTATTTTAAAGATTTATCAAAATTCAAATAAAAAAATTCTGAAATGGTTTTTTATCTTAAAATTTTCAAATAAGTTGCAAGTAAAATAAAATAAACTAATTTAATATTTATACAACATAACCAAATCTAAAATAATCATTTTCTAGAAGAATTAAAAGAAAATGTTTAATTTTATCATTATCATTGTTACTAAAAATACTATAAAGATTGAGACACTTCGTGTCTCTAATAATTATATACAGATAATATATTAGAAGGTTACGTGTAGTTATTTAGAAAATATATTTTTTTTTTATTTGAGAGATATAATAGTCCACTAAAAGTTTTTTTTTATATTTGAGGGATATAATGGTCCACTAAAAAGTGGAGATCAAAAGCAGTTATATACCTAAATATCCTCTTTATAATATGTATAGATATAATATATTTTTTTAAAGTAACTATCAATTTAAATTAATATAACGAAGTATTAAATAATTTTTAATTTTTGTAGAAATTTATATATTTAATTTTCTTATTAAGAAATTTTAATCTAATAGATAAATTATTAAAATTTAATATAAATTATAAATTATTAAAGAAATAAATCTAAAAAAAAGTTTACTCTTAAAATGAATCTTTTTTCATAAACTAATTATATCGCACTTTAGGGCTTTAATGATCACCCACAAAGGTGTTTTCACTCGGAATTTGTGGATTAATTAATAGGTATATAATAGTGGACCACAAGATGAAAACAAGTTTGGTACTATTCATATGTATGCCTAATCTAGATCCCTATGCGTATGTATTTATGATGAGAAAGAAACATGATGAAAATGAGTAACTTAACCACGAACAAAGTTCAACAAAGATATCCCAAACTAAACCTTAATTTTTCCAAATTATAGATAGATTATTATTAATCCTTATACTCCAATTACAAAACCGATTCTTTTACCTAATTATATCGAATTAATGTACCAATTATAAATATCATAATCTCCGTTACTGCATTTCGTAATGAATGTTTAAATTTTGTGGTATATTAAGGACAAAAATTTAGACAAAATTTTTCAATGTATCTTAGTATTGTTCTTCTATTAAAATTTAAGTTTTTTTCTGATAATTTTGATATTTAGTAAGTAGATTTTCAATTTTAAATAGAAATCAACGCAACAAAAAAAAAACCTAAAAATCTGCATCAACATTTTATCCTATAAATAATCACAAAGGGTAAATCTCGACAACAAGCATATTAATAGTTAATATTAATTTTAATTAATCATTTGATTTCTTTATTTGTACCAAAATTTCATTTTTGTTCTTTTACCTAAAAACTATACATATTGATTAGTTCCTATACGAACAATATTTTTTATGTTTTAATTACAGCTCTTTTACCTAAAAACGATACATATAGTTATTTTGACAGTGCAAATGCAAAACCATCACAAAATAAAGGCATAAAGTTTTTTTTTTTTTTTTTAAATGAAGATTGAATGTTAAAAAAAGTTCATATAACAACTAAAACAAAAAGGTTTTAGGTACATAAATTAAAATGAAAATAACATATTTATTAAACCTGGTTAATAATAAATATACATGTCTTGATATTGTTTATGTTTTACCTTTTCATGTAATTTGATGGTCCTGTGCAGGAAGAACTTAATTTATGGAATATAATTAATATTGGTAAGAAATATAAAATTGAATTTTGAGTCGTAATCACTAAACAGAACTGACTTGTGCAGGCAGGGCCTAGAAATTATTGACCTTGGTTTGGGGCTATCAAGTTGCAACTGTTTGGGATTAATTAGGACAAACACACAAATCCTTGTCTTGTTATTAGCAGACAAAACAAGCAATTATGAATAAGAATTTGGCATCGGGTTGGCCATGATGCACTGCACAATCACTACTTCTTCAACCAGCGACTAATTAATAGTAATATCTAATTAGTTGTATGTCTACAATCATTCATCATCACTGTTACTATATATGTAAAACTAGTTTTGGAT